CAATTTTTAGGACACTGTTTCTAGCCCCTTCAACACTCTGGGAGGTGAGCCATGCAGTCATGCAAAAGGCTTTTCAGACAACCAGGGATCTGCTGAATCTTACTAATGCTTCAGTCCAGTGAGACAATGCCCCTATGGGTACCTGTATGCAGGGTTGTGACTACAGCTCTCAGCATATCCACATCCACTGCTTTGTCACTTGCTTGTCACCACAGGACTTTGAGGTAGGTAAAAATGCTAAAACTGTATAGATAATGTCTTTTGATTTGTCCATAAATTGGATTTAAGTGAGGCAGAGTTGAGCAAAGTTGTTGGCCTCACTCTCTCTTCCAGTCATCAAAGTCCAGAAGCAAGACAAACGTCAAGATGATTGGTAGTGGCTCAGGATGCAGTGGATGATCTTGGAACTTTTGATGTCTAACCAAGCTCTGAGCACCCCACAGCACCTGCTTCAGCCACCTTCATGGCCATTGGAACAAATTGTTCATATCCGCCCATTGTGCCAGGGGAAGTCTTTACATGTTTGGGTTAAACATTATCCTAACTCATTGAAGGATTTGAGACCCATCAATTACCCTCAACCTGGTTTAGCCTGTCTACAGAAATGCTTTACTGGGGTATGGCCACTGGGCATACTATAGCTTCTTGGTGCCATAGGTGAGAGTTGGGTGAATTAGGTGGACACCAAAGGTGGAAAGCAGCCCTGAAAAGGGCTTGGCAGCCCTCACACCAGAGGTACTAGTTTGCGCTGAACACACCCTATACCCCAACATGTTCGTAGTCAGCAAGAGAAAGAAATTAAAAGCATAATCATAGTCAAAGAGGAGACAGAATTATGTTTATTTGATTTTCCTCCTTAATGTATTCTTCTTTCCTCCCTTGACATTCTTAGGATCATCAAAAGAAAACAGAAATAATTCTGGGCCCTCTGTCTAATTAGACTTTCCCTGTGATCCTTAATGATGTGGTTTTGAGGGGCCACATGTTTTATCTCTCTGTATTAGAATGTAAAACATTTGCCCTTATTCAATCCCTTATAATTGATGGCTTATGTTTATATTTTCATGTTTCTCTGCATTTCAAAGTTTCTACACATCTCTGGAATTCATTCATCAGGAGTGCTTAGAAGTCTTCTTTTTTCATTAAAGATTCGTTTTCTATGGATTTTCATTTTGAGATTTTTTTTTAAGTGAGTAAATTCTTTCTATTTCCACTTTACCCTCTGGTTCTAAGATCTGCATAGGCTTCTTTTATGATTTCTTGAAATGTGATGTCTAAATTCTTTTTTTTTTATTATGGCTTTCAAGTAATCCAACGTTTCTTAAATAATCTGTCTTCAATCTATTTTCCACACACATTAACATTTTTTTCCTTTTTAAGGCTTTTTTTTAAAATGCTTCTTATTGTCCCAAGGAGTCATTATCTTCTATTTGATCCATTCTTCTGTTCAGGGAGTTTGTCTTGTGCCAAGCTATTAATTCTGTTTATAATTCTTTCCAAAGATCTCATTTAAATGTTTTCTTCTACTATTATTATTTCATTTATAAAAATTTTTTAAACTCTTAAAAAAATAACTCTTGTATCATGACTTCCAGGAATGCTAGTTGAACTTGTTTCTGATTTTTCTTTGAGGCTTTGCTTGTACATATTTTGACATCACTCTCTTCTTTTGGGTTTGTGTCTTGAATGTCCTTGTTGTCATAATAGCCTTTTATAGTGGGATTCTCTTTTCATTAGCTTATTCTTTCAGCTTACTACCTGACTTTGAAATTTTTCTCAAGACATGGCTCTGTGCACTTCTTGTTGTTTGTTTGTTTTTGTAAGGCATTGGGGTTAAGGGACTTGCCTAGGGTCACACAACTAGTAAGTGTTAAGTGCCTGAGGCTGTACTTGAACTTAGGTCCTCCTGACTCCAGGACTGGTGCTTTATCCACTATGCCACCTAACTGCTCCTTTTGTGCACTTCTGAAGGGAATGTCTGGGCTATGCTTATGTCCTTGTGGGTTTTGCTCTTGCTTTCTTGGGGTTATTGAGTTTTGTGTTATTCCAAGATCTCAAATACAGCTTAGGTTGGGGACCTGGAAACTTTTATTACTCTTAAAGAGGTCTGATCCAGCATGAAGTATAGTCACTGTCTTTCTGGTCTGAGCCCTTCAAGTCCCTGACCTATATGCTTGCCCCAGCTGGAGTTTCAATAGATTGCTGCTAGAAGCCACTATTAACCAACTGGAAAGCTCTGATGACTCAGTGGTAGAGCTGCAGACTTCTCTTTGGTCTATGATTCTTTCCATGGTTATTTTGCTGAGGCTTTAGACTGGGCTCCAGGATGGAAGTGAGATCTGCTATCCGTTCTTAGAGTCAGAGGCACATAGCTGCTGCTTGCTTCTCAACTTGTTCCTTCTTCAATACACTGCTTATATCTCATGATGCTCTTTACCCTGGAATGCCATTTCTAGGCAAAGGTACTCTTTTCAATCTGTCTTATATCTGTGGCCTAGAACTGGATAGTGAGTGACAGAACTGCCATTTGGCTCCTGTTCTTGTTTCTTGCACAAGGTCAGACCCTGGTGGACCTCATCCCTTTTTCACTCCCTAAGTTGGAATGCTCAGTGTAACCATTCCTTATACTTCATCATCAGTGTCTCTGTCTACCTCTCTCCATGCTGACCTAAGGTGAAAAGAATCTGTCCCTGTTACTTTTTCTTGGAATTCCCAGACAAGACTAGGACAGGTGTGTTCTCTTCACGGACAAGCTATTGGGAAGATAACAACTGTACATCTCCCCGCTACTCTGCCATCTTGTCTCCTACTTCTACTGAGTGTTTTTTTTTCCATTTTATTTGTCCTTGATTCGAGGAATCATTACTATATGTGTATTATAAAAGGAATTTTGTAAGATCTCTTCTTTCTATCTTTCCAATAAATTTATATAATGTTGTAATTAATTGTTCTTTGGTGTTTCAAATAATTCACTTATAAATTCCTCTTTTCCAGAGTTTTTCTTAGGAGTTCTTTTAAGGCTTGTTCAATTTCTTTTTCTGAAATCAGATTATTTAAGTCCTACATTTTTCTGTTAATCTCATTTAAATTATTAGTTTTATTGGCTTATGGCAATATAGTTTTAAATAATTTCCTTTTTTATCCCTTTTTGTGAATTCTCCTTTTCTATTTTTGATGCCAATAATTTGGTTTTCACTTTCTCTTAAAATTAAATTGTGTTTTATCTATGTTATTTTTCTTCGTCTTCCCCCCCCCATAGCCTCTAGTATGATTTAGAAATTTTGACCACCTAGTAAAGATTACAAGATATGGATGAGTCCCATAAAAATGAATATCCCTTAATTGATAGAGAGGAGCAATGATTAGCTTCACATGAATGTCAGCCCATCTTTCTTATCAATCATAATGTTCTTGCCCCAACCTGACAACCTATCACTTGTTCTCCTCACCTACCATGACCCCTTCCTTGCTGTGTGTCAATAAAGAGGGTCACTGGCTTTACTGAGATTGCCAGTTTGACCCTCTTTGTTAAGTTATATGCATCGTTATTAATAAACTGATTTTGCTCAGAGCTTTGTACCTCAGTTTATATTTATTAATTTAATTTGCCACAACAGAGAGCTGATAGACTGAAAATGAAGAATGAGATTTTTTTTCCTGATGTGACCAATGTGAAAATATGTTTTTCTTGACTATGCACATTTGTTACAAATTTGGTCTTTTTTTCATGGGGGAGGGAATTGAGAGGGGGAGAAAATAGAATTTTATTAATTTATAAAATTATTTTAAAGGAGTTGACTAGATCACTGAGAGCTTACATAAATTATGCAAGATCATAAAACCATTATGTATCAGAGGCAGTGCCCCTATTAATTTTATTTATTAACTTCATATTAATATATTAGATCAAATTTACCTACTATGAGGCTAAAGAGCCCTTTAATTACACAATATAAGGCAGGGCTAAAATAATGACATAAGCAGAGTGAATATAGATATAAAGTCAGAGACTTTCCAAAAGAAGGAAATCATAGTATTATAGAAAGAGTGATCAAATTAGAGTCTACGGAAGCCAATTTCCAATACTCTCTCTGCCAGTTACTCCTTAGAAAAATATGATCATAAGGTAGGTGGCGCAGTGGGTAGAGCACTGGCCCTGAAGTCAGGAGGACCTGAGTTCAAATCCGGCCTCAGACCAAACACTTGACACTTCCTAGCTGTGTGAACCTGGGCAAGTCACTTAACCCCAATTGCCTAAAAAAAAAGAAAAATATAATCACAGATAATTCACTTAACCCTTCCAAACTTCATTTTTTTAAAAAAAAATCTGTAAAATGAGTGGATTATAGTTGTCATTTTTTCCCCCTGCTCTACATGAACAATTGTGCACATGAAAGAAAAAGTAGGGGAGCTACTGGAATGGAGTAAGGGAATCCATGAAAATGGAAAAAGAATATAGCAAAGGGAGGTTGCTAGAGTTAAAGTAACCTTTGCTTCCTTCACAAATTTGCCTAAGGCTAGCCTTGGGCATTATACAGGTTTTACTCCTGGGTTCAACTTACTGCAGATAATTCTTGCTCAGAAATTGTATGCTAAGAGAAATAATTTGTTACTCTTTCTGTTGGACTTATAAACTGGCACGTGGCAAACAGGGCTGTGACAGGGAGTCATGTAAGGATCACATGCTTCCTCTCAACAGTAATTATTTCCCATGCCATGCCTCATGATCTTTTAGCAATATGTGCTACTCCCACCCCAGGAAACTCCTCTCCCAGGTTCCACCTCATCCTCTTATATCAATCCCTGCAAGGATAAGAGCCCTAGTCTGTATGGGTTGGGTAACTCCCTCACAGAAAACCTTAGAGCTAATAATAGTTCTGCATTCTCTACTAGTTGCAAGGTGGCAGCAGAAAACTTACACATAGAATGAAATGAAACCGTACTTTAGAAAACACTTTCTTATGCAATCTGAAACAAGTTTATTGAAAATTCAACAGACTGAGAAGACAGAAAAGATCAAAGTAATGAAAAATTCATGAGAACTGTAAGATAAAGTGCTGACATTCCATAGATGTTCAAATGAATCACATCCAGTTCATTCAGCTTGGTGTAAAGTTGGCCCAACATATTAATCTTCTAGGATTGCAGGCTCTTTCTACAGTAAACTGGTACTAAATCAGAAGAACAGCAATGTCAGAGATGGTGAGCAGATGCAGACTTGGTAAGTCTCAGTTGTTTAAGCCAATCAGTACAGTCCAAATGGCCAACATCTTCTGTAGCCATATGGTCCACAACCACCATATCCATAGCCAAGGCCATAGCCTACTGGTGAATAGGTGCTGCCATAGCCACAGCCAACACTGTAGCCCAAGGGGTAGCCGTAACTACCCCAGTAGCAACCTGGGTTGACAGATCCAGGGTAAAGACTGCAGTGCATTTTGTCAAGAGTTGAAGGTACAGCTAAGTGACAAATTTGCTTGAATGTAATGAATTTCCTCAGTCCTGGGACCTCTTTATATATGCTCACTAAGAGGTGTCGCAATAACATAAGTCCTTTATTAACATTCTTTATAGTAATCTGAATGAAAAGAGATCATTAACTTCTTGTGCTTTTATGTCAAGATGGCATAATTGTTAAGGAGGTTTTCATGTGATTTACCACAGAAAACAAATCTCTTAAACACATTGTTTTCTCTCACTGAAAAAAGGCTTACAGTATGTTCAAAGCACTTGGTCACAGAAACCCTCCATAACGGGTCTTCACAGAATCCAAGAGTACTCTGAGATTATTCTTACCTTCTAATTATGCACTACTATTCCCCTTTGCCATTCCAAAGCAGGCAAAAACCCCTCTGAAGTCAAGGACTCTTTCTTTCATTTTGATTTGTTTGAAAGAATCCTTATTTACTTAACATGAGATTCTTGGTTCTTTAGTAAAATAGTTCATACAACTGAAGCAACACACAACCATAAATTTTTTTGTTTTTCTTTTTGCTTCAGTTGTATGAAGTATGGTGCTAAAGAACTAAGAATTAGATTCCAACTGATGGGCCCCTTAGGACATTGTCTCACATGTTTCAGATCAATTCAAGCAGGACAAGTAAAATATTAACCCTGTCCTCTGACAAAATCTAGTTCTTGCTTTACTATACTGTGTTGCAGAGACTTTGTAAATACAAGCAACAGGTTGGGGAAGTGAACATGTGACTGTTTCCTAGCCATGGTCTTTTGCTGGTAATGAGATGTAGAAATGTGAGAAGCACAAGTGATTACATAGTTTGGAAACACTTGCCTTATCCAGACTCATGGAGACTTTCTTTTCAGTTACTACTTTTCATGTATATCCACTAAGGATGTCCACTAAGGACACCCCATTAGTTTTGGAACAAAAATACATAGAGCTTAAACCTGTATAAGAGCACATATTCATTCATTAGGGAAGGTCCTCAAAGTACCATTATACCAGAAGTTTCATTAGTTTCTAATGGGAAGGGGGGACAAGAACAGAATCATCCTAAAGTCTGTGATTGCGTATGCAGGTGAATTATTCACTTTTCTCTTTTGATAAACATCTTCTCTGGAATAGATGACAGCTCTGCAAGGCCCAACGTATGATGCACAAAATGTCATTTCTATTTGAATCTTCCAATAATTTGCATATGACATTTCACTACTCTTGACTAGTGGTATGTGATAAATTATCGTTGATGCTAAACTAAGACTTACTTCCAAATCGATCTTGCCTAAATAGATGGTAGTATGCTCTAGCATAGATTCTAGTGTCAACTCTGCTACTAACTAGCTGTGGAACCTTGGGTAAATCATATAGCTTCCCTGATATAATTTTCCTCATCTAAAAAATGAAGAATATGCACTAGATTTCTAAGACCTCTTTCTTTTTTAAAATTAAAATTTTCTATTATTTGATCTATTGGTCACATTTATTGATCAGCTCAGATTTATAATTCAACTCTCTTTTGCCAAAATTTATCAATTAAATGTAACTCTGGAAGTATTCTGTATAATTATTTTGGCCACATTCATTCTTTCTGACATTGTATCCATAATTGGGATTCACTTAAAATAGTTAGCTAGTGTCATCTTTTCTAACTTAAAATAAGGCAGAGGAAATATGGCACGGTAGATGGAGAGCTGACCTCAGAGTTAAGAGCAGAATAAACATTTATACAGTGTTTACTATGTGCCAGACACTTAAAAAAACAAATATTATTTCATTTGATTTTCACAATAACCCTGAAAGATAGGTGCTAATATTACTCCCCTTTTACAGTTAAGAAAACAGAGATTAAGTGACTTGCCCAATGTCACATAGCTAGTAAGTGTGTGAAGCAGGATTTGAACTCAGGTATTCCTGATTCCAGGACCAATACTACTAGGCTACCAGCTACCTCTGGAAGGAATTCAGGAAGACTTGAGTTCAAGTCCTACCTTCAACATATACTGGTTGAATGACCCTGGGCAAATCACATTCTCTCAGTGGCCTAGGAAACACTGTTAAGGTATAGAGTTTAACTTTTAAGTTGTAGAGAAGTTATCGACTTGTATTAGTAGAAGTTTCTCAGTGGCAGTTGCCTATGTCAATACAATGAAAGAGAGAGAGAGGAAGAAGTAATTTGGGAATAGCTATAGTAAAATCTGGCTTTCATCTGATAAACGCTTCTTTTTACAGACCTCAGCTGAATCTCTAGGTACACTGAGTTATGATGTTTTACATAGCTGAAAATAAATGACAACTTCCTTCACTCTTGACATTTTTGTGGCTGAGTTACTTTTCAATTTCTCTGTGGTTACACCAGATAAACATGACTCTACCATTTGATGTGGAACATGTAAAGTATTCTTGTGAAACATTTTAACATTTTAGTTCTGCTTTGCTGTATAATGAGCTTTCTAAGTGCTACTGAAAGCATCTCAAATAAATAGCTATCAGGAGTTTCACAATATAATTTATAGGAAGAAATATTTATAGGAAGAAATATTTGTTTTAATGCATTCTATCAATGGTGAGTTATAAGGAGTGCTGACAATACTGAAGTAGTTTGGGAATCCACCCATTTTAGAAGTCTGGTAGTCATATCCAAGGGCAGAAGAACTGGAAAACCTTCTCCTTATGGTATCATGGAAGTATCAGAGCAAAAAAAGTAGAAACATAAATTCAGTTACAGAAATATAGGAAGTAAAAAATAGAAACCAGCCCAGCCACCAAGGTGACATGATTAGGGACATGACACTCCACCCCATCTTTTCCTTTTTTTTCTGAAGGTTTAGGGAATATCCTGCGGGAAACTTTTTGAAATATATATATTTCATTTCCACCATGACCCATGGACCAGGGCCCCTCAGGGACTCTGAACTCATGGGGTCAGTTTCTATAGCAACTGTATCTTTTCCTGGTCCTTATCCAACTCTATCCCTCCCCTTCCATTATGGCTCATGACACCCTTTCTCTTCCTTTCTTCCTTTGTTCATTCCTCCCTCCCTTCCTAACTACTGTCCTTTATATTAGACTTCTTAGGCATCTTTCAATTACAGAAACTTGGCTTTCCTTTGAAGACTCTCCATCCCTGCCACTCTTTCCATTATTGGATTACCTTCTTTCATGACTCCTAACAGTGGAAAATGAAGGGATGTTCTTTGTTCTTGAGTGAGGTCCTTTCCTCTACCACCTTTATTAAGTGATCTCTCTTTCTTTCAGATTGATTCCCTATAGATATATCACACTATATTGATCCTAGGTTTTATCTACCAACCCCCAAATCATTCTTTCTCCTTTCTCAAGGAATTTAGTACCTCTATCAGTCTTCCTCTCTACCTTAACCCTACATTTATACTTGGATACTTCAGCTTACATATTGATGTCCCAACACATATCCTTATTTCAGTTTATCAATTTCCTCACTCTTATGATCTGCAATTTCACTCCACCTTAATCACTCATAGGGATGGTCATCCACTTGATTTTGTCATCATCTGCAAGTGTTCACTTTTACAATCCACAATCCTGAAATTCCATTATCTTACTATGGCTTCCTTTCCTTCTAGTTCTCTCTGTACCTTACCACTCTTAAATAACGTGTAGCTACAATTTCCAGTAATTACATCCTCTTTTCCCAGGATATCACTCCTACTCTGGCTTCACTTTACTCTCTCCAAAATATGGACCTTTTAGTTAAACATTTCACCTTTACACTGTTCTCTACATTTGAATTGTCATTGACATTGTCCTGTTTTCATTTCTTTCCAGATCCCAACCCTGAATTATTCTTATCATATTCTTCCTTTAGTCCTGCTTAGTGTGCAGAGCACAGCTGGATAAAATCATATAACTATGCTGATTGGTTCCACTATAAACTTGTATTATCCAACCTCAACTGGGCACTCACTGTTGCTTGTGTAACACTCCTTCTGTGCTATTCTCAATTTTAACTCATGCTCATAAATGGGGTCCCTAGATGATAGCTGATGACTACTTTCAAGGTTCTAAGGGAAATATTATAGGGTTAAATTTAAAGCATCTGTACCTTTACATTAACGATCAGACAGTAACCTCAATTAGATTTTAGGAAGGTGTTGACTAAGAGGGAATAGCAAGAATAGTAATTATAAAAGCATTCCCCCCCAAAAGTCTAAAGTCCACACTTCTACCACATTGCATCCTAAATTTGAGCCCACTCATCCTCTGTATGTGTGTGTGTATGTATGTGTGTGTGTGTGTAATGAAGGGGATCAAATTTAGAACGCAATGTTAGTAAGGCATGTAGATCGATTTTCTATTTTTATATGCATATTTAAGGTGTATGAATGTTTCCTTTGGCTAGTCATGTTTTCAGTGGGATGTGATATGCTTTCATCCACTGACCAAAGTCCTATAATCTTCTCTAATTGATTAAGGACCAATCACCCATTTAAAGGAAAATTATTTAACATCTATACCTATTGATTCTGTGATTTAATCAGTCATTCCGACCTGATAATGGTATCATGGAGTAGATCTTTCTTATTAACACACTAAAAACCAATCATATCTATAGAACGAATGATTGAATTGAGGGCTTTTCTGATGACATTAATTGAGATAGGGCTAGAATTCTCCCTACCCTTTACACATGAAAATCTTTTTGCTCATTTTTTATTCTATAATATATTATCATTTATATAGTATCATTACTATCATTTACATAGTTTACTATAATAACTATCATTTACACAGTGGTCTTTCCCTTTACATATGCAGTCGGTTCTTCTGTAATATTCCTAAAAATTAAAATTGCATGACCAAACCATAAGACTTTTTGGGGAAAGTGAGGTTAGAGGAATAACATTCAAAAATCTTATTAAAAAAAAAGATAGGAACCTAATAAAATGGCAGCACAGTTTTAAACATGTTAAATAGTTAAGAAATATGTAAATGTCTATGGGAAGAGTGGTATTTTCACCAATTGGGGGT